ACGCATTTAGATCATTTTCAGGAAAAGAATAATAAATCTGAGAATCATCGGCAAAAATATGTACAGAACAGGGACGTTTAGCTTCGGTAAACTGTGAAGTGTAAACTACAAAAAGCAACGGACCAATAATCGAGCCCTGGGGAACTCCTGAGCGTATACTAGTGAATTCCGAACACGTGTTCTTGAGGATAACTGCTTGCGATCTATTGGACAAATACTTTCTCACAAGGGTAGAGGCAGAATTTGAAAAGCCGATGTGGTGCAAGAGAGCTAGCAACAGCGAGTGATTTATCAAATCAAAAGCTTTCGTATAGTCGAGGAGGACCAAGCAAGTGAGCAGATTATTATCAGTAGCTATATGTATATAGTCCGTGATTTTTAGGAGAGCTGTGGTACAACTATACCCTGGCCGAAATCCAGACCGATGTGTTGGTGACATTAAATGAGTATTCAAGAGTTCACGCATTTACTTATCAATTTGCTTTTCGAACACTTTAGAAAGGCAACATAGAATACTGATTGGTCGCAGATCTGAATATGATTCTGGAGAGGAAATCTTTGGTAAAGGTATAATGAAGGATTTCTTCCATAAGGAAATACATGGTTGCCTAATATGTGGTCGAATATGTGTTTAATGTATACAATAATCAGAGGACAACAATAGAGTAACATTTTGAGATTTGATAGATAGCACTGATTTGTATATTTCATCACAAGAGATGGTCTTGAATGAAAGTGTCCCAGTGCCCTCTTTGATGTTTGATTAAAAAAATTCGACGAGATCTGCGTCATGGATGCTAGCAAAGTATTTATTAATGTCATTCACGTCACTCAAGTGTTCCGGTAATAATCTAATAGGACCATTATCAAAAATATCTAGATTTTTCAATTCTCTCCAGACGTTCCTACCACCTGCGTAGTTCAATTGAAATTCTAAATAAGCGTTTTTCTGCAATTCGATGGTCCGATTCGTCAAATTCCTCAAGCCCTTGTAGTAGTTCCAATGGTGGATTAAATTAGTTCGTCTATATTTACATAAGGCTCTATCTCTCAAGGTACTTTCTTCTTAGTAATTTTTATAGTTTTTATGGGAGCATGATTGTTAAAAGGATGAAGAATTAAGTCAGAGAGATATTTTACGTTTCCATCTAAATCATCAATAGTATAAATATAATCAAAATTAGTTCTACTCAAATCAGTATTGAAATCATCCAAGGAAAAATTTTGGAAGTCTCTGAAAGTATATAGTTCAGGTTCCAATTTATTTTTTTTCATTCCAAAACTACAATATACTAGACAGTGGTCAGAGAACGTAAAACAGTCGAGGACACCTGTATTTTTGATTTTTAAATTACTAGAAAACAATAAAACATCGAGGAGGGTGCTAGTTGTATTGGTGATACGAGTGGGTTGGTGAATGATAGACATCAAGAATATTCTGAATGATAGGATAAGAGCGACCGTGCGTGTCGAGAAGGTCAATATTGAAATCGCCTGCCAAAAGTATATTGTCGTACCGGGGCGCAAATTCACTTAGGACTTCTTCAAGATTCGATAAAAACTCATTCGGTGGGAATTTGGGAGGTCTCTGTATGAGGAGCCTACAGCAAATTTCACATTGCGTTATGCACAAAACTTATCCAGATTCGTTCGGTAGGAGCCTGCAGATTACGTAAACTTTTGGCTTTGAGATGGTTCTTTATGTAGATTGCTACACCCCCTCCTCGGTTCTCTAGTCGATCTTTTCTGAATAGTTGATAGCCCATCAATGCAATATTGTCATCTGAGATGTGATCATTTATCCAAGTTTCAAAAATCGTGATGGTGTCATAAATGTTGAATGTAGTTCTTTTGAATTCAGCAAAATTACCCAGCAAGGATCTTGTATTAATGTGGCACAATTTTAATATAGACATGATTTTAGAGCATCGCTATAGCGGCCTCAACAAAAAACCATCTTCACTGGAGAAAAAAAAAATTACGGAAACAATTTATAACTTTCTTAGACGTCGGTAGATTTTGATAAAATTTCTATATGAGATAGACACTATAGTGGCATTGGTTAAAAGCCAACTCAGAACATACCAATTCCAAGAAAATCTTACATGTTCATTCATATATCAGTTTATAGTTCAGTGAACTAAATAACCTTTATGGATGAGCCACAATAGTCTTACTTGGGGTTAGCGGGAGGAGGTGGTATTTGCCCTACTCACATGGAATGTAATAACCTGTAACCTAACCTTTTACCTATACATACATACTCAAAAAACCGAATTCATCCGAGAAATACTAAATACTAGGATTATTATGAAGTCTGGCTAACCAACAAAAGTACTATGTGAATTTATTACTAAAACGGTAACGCTCAAATATTAATGAAACTCTGCGGTGAGGACATTTAAAAAAAGGATTATTCGTATATAATCGTTGATGTTGCGAAAAAAACTATCATTTCAACTTAGAAGTTGTATAACATTTTTTTGTAGCAAATTCCGAGAACTCCCAACACCTTATTCGTTTGAATTAGAGTAAAATCATTGGTGTTTTTATGATCATTCCGATACGGAATCATTGATATTAGGTGCTTTCTCTTGCTATCACCGATTTTATTTGTGTATGGTAGCTGTTTGATTCAATAATTTTTCAAATCTTCTTATGGCACTTGGCCCCTTAGATGTAGAAATAACTCGATAATCCTTCACAGAAGTTGAAGTTTTGGCATTTTGGCCATTTGATAATCATTAGTCGATGGCATCGATGGCATATAGAACCTTTCAATACAAATATCTCATTTTTCGGCAAACTGGCACATACCCTCTATGTTACTTCTTCTCCTAAACTAGTAGCGTACCGTCGTGTGCCTACGATGCTGACTTGAGTTGTTAGTAATTTTGTTTAGTTCCTTGACTATCGACCAGTCCATATAATAAATTTCATCAAAATCTACCGACGACAAAGAGCTTCATAAATCGTTTCAGTAAAAATTAGTGCCTCATTCTTTCTCCATCGGAGGTGGCTTTCAGCCGAGGCCGCTAAAGGCCTTGAACATCGACAATCTCATATGAAACATTTTATCGAAATCCACTGACGACTAAGAAAGTTATCAATTTTGTCTATAATAATTAGAGTATCATTTTTTTTTTCTCCAGTGAAGATGGCTTTCAGCCGAGGCCCCTATAGCAGTAGGTAGTTCCTTGAGTTTCGGCCAGCCCATATAAAATATTTCATCAAAATCTACAGACGTGAAAATAATTAGTGTTCAATATTTTTCGACATCAAAGATGACTTCCCCATATAAAAAATCATCAAAATGTACCAACGCTTATGGAAGTTAGGAACTATTTCCGTAAAATTAGTTTTTAGATTTTTTCCATATCAATGATGGTTTTGTCTCCATCTGTTACCACCATTAAGAAAGTTTGAAGCTCCCCCACTGACATAATAAAGGGACTATGAAATTGTTATAAGAATCTGGTGTCGCCGATGAAAACTAAAATTTTTTTTTCATAAGCAACGCACAAGCAACGACGGCCAGTTTCAGCATCATAGAAAGGTATACTCACTGTATCACAAATAATTAACTTCATTGATGTCTAATATTATAATGACTTAATTAATTTATGATTTTATATACCTATACACCTGAATTGACTATTGTAATTTTGCCATTTTATATATACATTATTTTGTAATTGTGATTTATCATAAATGTATTGTATACATATCATGACCAATAAATCCTGGAACAAATCTATCTATCTATTTATTTTACTGAGGATGACTAAACAAAGATTGCAGCTGATATGACCTTCAATTTCACCACTGTTTCTAGCTCTCCAGAGTAAGTACCTGTGGGTTTACTTTCAAAATGGGATATTGTTTTGATATTTCATCTACAACTGTCAAAAGTTACAAAAATTTGAAATATCCAGGTGAATGCAGGCCTCTTCCTATCTCTACTTTTATAGCTCTAGAAAACTAACTTTTTTGTGGAGCAATTTAAAATCGGATGTGTATGCCACAACACTCTTATGAGCTGGAATTTCCAGAAAATTCTGTAAGGAATTTTCTTCACAAGAACTAAGGATTACTTAAAAAACATCTGTACTAATTTTATATATGTTTGGAACCTGTATTTGGTTATGATAATAATCAGTATTGATATTTTCATCACATGGAGAATGTGAATTCTCAATGTATTTCTTTATATATATATTCTTTTTTTTGTGTTCATAAATATATCCGAGAATGTTCTTTTTCAGTATAGATATGTTTGAAGTGATCTTCATGGAGAATCTGTTGTTACCTGTTTAAAAAAAAACAAGTTGGGTTTTTCCATCAATCATTTGAAAATATGTGATTTGAAAAATGAAAGACAAAGAGAGATACATGGATGTACTCTTCCCTGAACTTGTAGAGGAAAGAATATAGAAGCCCACTGACATAACCACCTTCTAGACCACAATTTCTCATATCCCAGCAACTTGCATACTATAGGAAGTATTTCATAATGCTGCCCTCCAAACCACTTTTCTTTTAAAGCACCCCTTGGGACACTTGCAGTTGGACAGCCCTGATCTAAGCAAAAAACTTATTCATATCCTTGTTTGGCAAAACATATGATCTGCTTCAAAATCATTTGTGGATTTTTTTATGTCACTGCTTGTCAGATGTCCATACCCTATAAGGAACTTTACTAAAGGTTATCCCAGATTCATTTGCATAATTCTCAGGACTTCTCACCTACCTTTTGAACCCTGGTGAATGGTGAATAAGTAATAACTATGATCTTCCCCAGAGGCGTATTTTTATTATCTCCAGTAGAAAATTGATTGAGAGCTACTTCCTAAAACTACTGGAGATAATGTCAATATTGTCAATCCAGTAAGAAATTCTTAATTTACACAATTTCTTTCTGAAATTCATCACAAGTACAATTTCATGCAAACAAGAAGGAAAAAACACAAAATCTGCAGTCATGATTTCCAAATAATTACCTTTCTTAGTAGAATTACTTCCATCTACAAGTGCAGTTTGGTTTAAAATCTCATTCTCTTGTTTGTTGCTGATTATATCTTGGTCTATCTTTGCCTCTGATCTTGTTTCTATCTTTGTGTCCATTTTTGTTTTATCTTTTTTACCATGCCATTCTACTTCATTTTTTGTTTTCTTTGTAGTTATGATACCATCTGAACTATCTTCATTTTCATAATAAACTTTTCTCTTAGTTTGGCGCCCTGAGCGACTTACATATGTCTCTTTAGCTTCCAGATCATCAGAAAAATCATTAAAATGTTCATTCAAACTGATAGCAACAGGCATTGGAGCTGGAAAGAATGATTTCCTTGCTGCTTGATCTCTGAGGTAATTCATCTTTGTGTGGTAGGCATATAACATTTTTGCTTTTTTGTGATTGTTTGCTTTCAAGAATTCTTTAGTATACTGAATTGGTATAAACTCTAATTTGCGAGGTATGAATCTCAAAGTATTTTCTGTGGACTCAAGCATATCATTGAATCCAAAACTTGCTTTCATAGCATCCTTTATACAATCCTCATTTGAGGGATTATCAGTGTTTTCTTCATCTTCAAGTATCTGACTTAAACTTGGTTCAATAGCTTTTTTGGAAGAATCAGTTTTTGAAGGAAGATCAAATTCATCCTCTGAATCTTCCATTCCTGATAGTTCATTTTTAGTCAGTGTTGAAACAACTAGTTTTTCTGAATTCCAATTCTTAGGCTTGAAGTCACCCTTCTTACAACTGTGACTGTTTGCTGTTTTGTCATTTAAAGCATTCAGTAAATCCTGCCGACTTCTGGAGAGTCTTCTAGAATTGTTTTCATCTGAAGCAGCATCTTTGGATTCAGAGACAATATTGAAACATGATTTGATTTCATCTCTACTCATACCTGATTCATATAGGCCAGCTTCTAGAAAATATAAGGAAAATATTAAATTACATTATCGCTAATAGTTGAGAGTATTTTAATGATGGGTTTTATGCATCAATAATTTCTAGATCGCCTCACCTCGTACGGCATTTTCCATTTCTTCCAAGCTCAATTCTACATCCATCGTTAAATTTCTTATTTTGAATTTCAATGGATTATTATTATTATTATCATAATCTTTCAGCACATATATTTCAAATTTCAAAATAAAATAGGTTAAAAAATATCTGTCATCTGTCAGTTTGTCAGTTCATGGAAAGTTATGTACTTGTTCTGGCGGTTTTGGCGGTAAAGGCTGTATATATGACACCTGTTAAATTTGATGACAAATATGCAATCAAATATGTTAACAAAAATGATGACAAAAATATTTTTTAAGTGTCATACAGTGAAAAATGTGTTGATATTACGCAGATTTGCAAACATTCTTTTGAAAATATAGGCGAATCATGCTAAGGAGTACGCCCTCTATCGTTGTCTAATATAACTAACGTATGGGCCATTGATTGCTTAATTGCTTTGTTTACAATTAGCAAAGAGGAGAGATTCTTATTAGGCCAAACTAGGCCAAACATCAAACTAATAACATCCAGTGACTCTAGGCCAAACTAGAGTCACTGGATGGTATTAGTTTGATAAGAGTTCGGACACAGAAATGACAACCGTTAGGGTTTTTGAATGTTTAGATTTATTAAGTTACACACCTTGCATTGTGACAAGAGCACCATAGTCGTCCCGCGTTTCTTCATTCAAAATTGTTTGAATTTGACAATTAATTTTATAAACGTCAAAATTGAAATAAAATTTCATAATTATACTTTCGAGAAAAAAGCAGCTATGGAAATCACTTGCTGTGTAATAAATTGTGCCAATTCTGAAAAAAATGGATATCGTTTATTCAATTTTCCAAATCAAATATCAAGCATTCGTTTATGGAAAGAAGATATGAAACGGCCTGGGTGGAAAATCAATTTGAAGACGAGCGAAATTTGTGAGGTACTCATTGAAATTCACTTCTTATAACAGGATCTGATTAGAATGAAACTATATTTTAGGTCCATTTTCAAACAGAAGAATTCAAAATCTGTTTGAGAGAATCTGCTGTTCCATCAATTTACAATGCAGACGATTTCAAGAACAAAATTCCTTAATTCATCACACAAAATACAAAACAAAATAATCATGGAGAAAAAGGAAATGATCGCATAATTACATAATGAAATTGAAAATTTGAAAACGAAACTAAGGAAAGCAACTGAACTACAATGTGATATATTATTGAATGGCGTTTATGGTGCCGACCAAATTCAAAATTCAACAGTGAAAAATAAATAGATATTCATGTATCAAGGGAATTATTAAAAGGGCCTTAATTACGCTGGAGGTTATCGTTTTGAAAATATTTTCTATATCGATCCATGTTAATTAGCTCCTAGGGCGCTAAGTGAAGTTGCTGAGAACTTTACAAAACCAAGTATTTGGTAGGTATCGTCAAAATAAATTACTTTTTTCCTATGAAATGTTTATCGAAAAATGATTTGTTCTCTGTATTTCAACACCCTGTATCTCCGAAATAAAGCATTTTCGGACACAAGCTTATATAAACTTTATTTCTTAAAATTGTCTCAGGAATTCTACACTTGAACGTACTTATGTTACTTCCTGTATATTGAGAATACCTACCTTTGATTTAATATTGATAACTTCATGTTTTATACTTATCACTGGAGTACAGTTTCACATACAATAAGGAATTATAACTATAAGTCTATCCATATGTGTATATTTTCCAATATTAAAATGTTGTTACATGCATTCTTTTCATTTTTATAACAGTTGTTCTGTTAGAAGTGTATCACTAAATCACTATAAATTGAAGTGGGTGTTTGTACCCCATATCCATTGTTTATCTACGGCTATGATTGATTTGACAGAAAATATAACCTCTAAAATCGTATCTGACAATCAGGCACTACTAGGGAAATTGAAAAGACAAAGAGCAGAATATATGTCTTATTCTTTTATTCACTTAAACCATTGTATTATAGAAAATAGAAAAGGACAAAAGTTCAGCTGTGTCCGAACTCTTATCAAACTAATAACATCCAGTGACTCTAGGCCAAACAACATCGGATGTATCGGATGACTTCTTTGGTCCACCTTGTACATATAAAATAACACGGAACGGAACAGTCGGAACACGAAACACAAAATTCCAATTTTTGTTTTGAGTTGATGTTGAAGCTGATGCAGTGGGACTCTGTAACTTGTGTCGCATAGCGAAAGCGTAGCGAAAGCGAAACGAAGCGAAGTATACGACTTCGCTTTCCGGTACTCTATATGTAGTTCGTTATGCTTTCGCTATCGTCATACGATTTCATACGAAATAGAACGAAGTTGGTGGAGTTACATTTGGCAACAGTGTTGCGGATCCCATTTATTCAAAGGAAACATCCCATTGGATCAAAAAAGCGGCATTTACGAATTATTGTATTGTTAATTTTTGGTTTCAATCAATCAAATAAAGCACTTGGATAAGTTTCCGAGAGAAAAGAAATTCAATAAAACATCAAAAACACATATGAAGATGATTTATTTCTATGAATTGGAATGAATGTATTGACTACAAACAGATATTGACATCAAGGCCAACAAAAATAGTAATCAGCCAAACAAGAACTTATTCTGCACAGAGCAGCTCATTGGAAAATATGTACCTACTTTGTTCATATAAAAAATTGGTATTTATATTCTCACTAGGTATATCTGCTCAGGTATAGCTTTCTATTTATATGCAACTAGTAAAGGCAAATGATCTGAGAATAACAATAATATTGTAAGATATGTAACTGCTTATATTTATAATGGACATATCATTCTATAATCTAACACTCAGTATATTATTATTTACATACTATAATGTAATACCTATCAGAACTTGCTTCTCTATGTCACGAATTAAACAAGATGATAAGCACATATAATTCCTTGAATGACCTTCTGCAAGGCAGCTATATGTTGACAGTGCATTTATACAGATGCACTTTTTCTTACAGTTCACTTTAGAATCTTGGATGGAAATATTTATGTAGTGATAGTAGAATCCGTTCTTGTTCAACATAGTAAATAATGTCCAGTTAATCCTGTTTCATGGAATTTACTCTTGATTCTCCCTTATTGGTACACAGTAATATTACACAGTTCTTCTTGGGTGTCTCCGAGGTTTTTGCTATCCAAATTATTTTCCCTTCCAATGCACTTATTATGCAAATTTTTCAAATTTGAACGTTCCAGGCTTTCTGTTATGTTTCACTGTTGTAGGTATCGGCATATTATATTAGTAGGATTCTTTAATTACCTATTATTGTCTTCTTCAATGGACTCACACCAAAGACACATTTCATTTTTTGGAGAAGCTACTTATATCTGCCTGTTTTGATGTATCAGGAAAAAAGAGAAGGATAATTCGAATGATTATGAATTATTCCAGACCCTATTCGACAGCACCAATGACAGTTTTCAGTTTATTTTTCAACTACCAAATGAGCTGTAAGTATGTTTTCATCACACTGTCTATCATATTTTTTATCTCACGTCTCACGTTCTTTCATCCCCTACCTTTATCCTACCAAAGGGAACTTCCATCTCTCTGGAATATCTTTCATTCCTCATTTATTAATCTATTATTTTTCTCAATCAACACAAAGTTCGAACTACGAACAACAACAAAAACCAATACCTATAACCTCAATCGTTGAGAATCGCAGAAAGCGGCAACCAAAATCCTTCGCTTCTGCTTCGCTTACGAACTCACGTTCGGCGTCTCCGACCTCATCCGAATATTGATACAGAGTACCGAAACGGCAAAAGCAGTCGATTACGCATGCTTTCGCTTTCGCTTTGAGTTACAGAGTCCCACTGCTGGTGACAAGGAGTCAGAACACAAAAGAAGAAGAGTTGATGTTGATATTGATATTTTTCTGTCTGTATATAAATAATATTCCAAGTGAGATTTTGGTATATAGTTTATAATTTTAATATTTATGATTTCTTTGGTCATGAAAATGAAGGAAAATTAATGAAACAGGAAAGGGAAACAGGATTTATCAAACTGGAAATAGTGAGAAGTGAAACCTGTTGAAATTATTCACCAGCTGATTATTGTATAAACCTGAACATATCTACAAATCACAATCAGAACACAGAATAGAAAAGGGAGACTTGGAATGTTTTGAAAAGGAACATTTCAAATGTATCATCATTGGTGAAATTTAGAATGCCAACATTTTGAGAAAATGGGAGAGCTTATGTTGAATGTGAATATTGTTTTGGATAACAAACCTATTACAGTGCCCTACAATAGTTCCACAACTGCTGAGGATATTTGTATTCAAGTTTGTAAACAGCTGAATATTTGTACAATAACTCGTCACCTTTTTGCACTCAGATTCACTGGCAAAAATGTATTCCTCATGCCAGCAGAAATAATTGGAGAGAAACCCATGTCACTGGATTTCAGAATAAGATTCAAAGTAGCAAACATTGTAAATTTGAAAAAACGTGACATTAATGCATATAATTATTATTTTCACCAAGCACGAAATGATGTTTTAGAGAATACAATTCCAGACCTAATATATGAGAAGTATAGACGAGAATTGGTTGGATTAGGAATAACAGACATGTATAGAGTTATGTTAGAGAAAGATATAACTAGAGAAACTGTTGAAAATGATTACAAAAAATATATTCCCAAAGAGGTTTTAAAACGCCATTCATTCTTCATCAAGAAACCAATCCATGACACTTTGGGTAAACTACAAAGATCTGTGAGGGATGCATCGTAAGTAACCAATGTGAAAGATTACTTTTGCTAAATTATCTGATGGAGTATAATTTAGGTGATATTTCAATTTATTTATAGCTATGTTAAAGCTGAGTATATCAGACAACTTGAGATTATAGCACCTGAGTACTTGTCAGAAACATATAGGGCAGTAATTGATCAAGATGGATCAATTTGTAATATCATTATAAAAGTATCACCATACCACATCAGTGAACCTGGAGTTAGATACTGCATGGAATCCAAAAAAGAGGTCAGAACAATGTATGAATGCTAATTTTTCATAAATCAAAAATTTTTTTCAGCTATGGTTTTTAATATGTTCTATTGAAGATCTTGGTTTCATATCTATAAGGAATGATTATACTATAGAAATAAGTCGTAAAACAGGGATTCCTTTCTACCTTAAGTTTAATTCCAAAAGTATCATGTTATCTTTTATAAGCCTTCTAGATGGATATTACAGGCTAACTTGTAAATGGACTTTCAATATATGTAAAGATGTGTATACCCCTTCCTTGCAAAAATTGTATTCAATGAAATGTCATGGTCCAGTTGGGTATGTTTTCTCTTCAAATTAAAGGATAATTACCTCAATAATTGTTGATTTGCAGTGGTGAGTTTTCATATGCAAAACTAGAAGCCAAGAGGGGATTCAGACCAGGTTGTTTCATAATAAGAGAAAGTGAATCTAAATATAGTGATTTCTACTTGGATGTTTGTATGAAAGAAGGGTGAGTGGGAAATGTTCATGATCATATCAATCCTTATAAATACTTTTGGTATTTTTTAATGTCCAGTATGAAACCAAAAACATTCAAGTTAGAGAAAATAACCAGTGATGAATTCATATTCAATGATGATCTGACAAGATACAAAACAGTACAACAGCTCATGAATGCTTACCAAGATACCAGTGGACCCATCTATCTGCAGGAGTGTTTACCACCTTCTGAATATGGTTAGATCATCAATAATTTTTTGTTTACAATCATCATCAGAAAATGTATTTTTTAGATATTTCTCCCCTTCTACTCTGTAGAAAAGAAAATATAATTGGTGATTCATTGACTGATACTTCCTCAGTAGATGTTCTCTTGCCACAAGGATCTCCATTATGTATTAGTTGTAAAAATCTACAAGTTTACAAAGGTGAGTGAGGAGAGAAATGGTAGTATTTATAATTATTATTGCATGGATTGGCATTTTATCAGTGTTTATTTTTTCCATCATTCTATAATTACATAGTGTGATTGTGGCTGTACCTATACAAGATGTTTCAGATTACAACTGGGAAAATTTGATTGGGGATAGTACTTGCAAAAATAGAAAGAAAAGTTCCTATCAACTTGTATATGTTTTAAAGCCTAGTTTTCCAGATACAGGATGTTGACATTAGAAATATTATTTGCCTATTCTCATTATTACCTTGTATGTGGTTTTATAATGTCAAAATTCTATGTCATGAGCATGAATAGAAGAAACCATGGAATGTTATGGAAAATCCATCAAACTGTTGTAATCAAATGTCACTTTCAAATCACTTTGTAGGAATTCAGTGGTTTTAGAGGACACTAACATTACAATTGACGTGTATTTATTGAAAATATTGAGGAATTTTTCAGTTTTTTAATTCTTGAGAGATTTTAGAAGATGCTGTTATCAGTGTTAATCAATAAAATAGTATCAGCCTCTTCTGATGCTGAAGATACATGACGACTGACGAAATCCGTTTTTCCATCAATATGTTGTTTCCATTGTTCCACCATTCCAGCATAAAATAAATTCCATCAGAACAATTGGTGAGGTCATGTTGAAAAAGCGCATCTATCAGTGTGCACTTTCAAAAACACGCTCATACTTATGATGGCTATCCAGTGATCTCAATGGACTGACTGATGAATTACCAAAATCAAAGATTACTGAATTCTAGAAGATAGTTCACTTAGTGGAATCCGTTTGTCGGTACAGCCCAACATTGCATTTTTTGCTTTTCTATAAATCATTGCACCGCCAAACGGTTGCGGTCGGTTGACAGCTAATTAGATTGCGATTTCAAAGGCCCCGGCAGTCGTTAGCCGGCAGAATCCAGCGGTCGGCTAGGTTGCGGCGAGATCTCTTAGAAGTCGAAAAATAAACGAGTGAACTGTCTTATAGTTTATCTTCTGTAGTCTATGCCAAAATTCACCCATTTAAACTCATTATGGCTCTCCAGTGATCTCAGTGGATGCCTTCAATGGACCTACTATCGAATTTGAATTGAGATTCAGATTCATATCAGGTCTTCTTTTTTTTTTCTTGAAATCCGAGCAAGATATGGAAAAACTCATGAAACTTGAAAAAAAAATCAATGGAGCACAATGATTTGACAGAATGATTTTTTCCGTCACTTTAATAATTACGGTGGATTTCATTACACCAAAATATCAGTTGAGGAGGTTTGAATAGAAAACTGTTATCAAAAAACTTTATCACCTTGTAACTTGAGAACAAAGCTCCAAAACATACAAGTTTCAATTTCAAGGGATCCCGATTATAATCTGAAACAACTATTTACTATAGTAATAATGAGAAACAGTCTTGATCTTCAGGTACAATAAGGAAGCACAAGTATTACAGTAGGTTAAGGTACTACATTTTGATTTTGATGTAATCAGGCATTAATTTAGTTCAAACCCGAACTCAGCTTCCTAATTGTGAATTCCACGTCTATTTGGTTGAAAATTATGTTGGTGCATCTGCGTTACATCAATACTGTCCTAAATAAAACGGTATTTTAGTGATTTCGAATCATTAGGGTAAAAAATAAGGCGTCGCCCCATCTGACGGCAACACTTGAACACTTCTGAGTGACCAATAAGCACAAACTAGAAACAAATGTGAAACATTGAAAACAAAGTAAACAGACCGCTTCGACAGCTTTCAGAAACTCCGATAGGTGGCGTACGCTTATTTTCTATCGCGAATAAGATATGAGGGTTCCGAAGTTAGTCTGGACATAGATCAACAAAACCGTTTGAGGCTCTTGCGACTTGACAAGAACTCGCCGTAACGGTTAATCATAATGAGAGTTATTATTAGGTCTTTATATTCATTCTTGTGTATTTATATTTCATCACTACCCATGATATCTAATGGTATAATAAATATTATGTTCGAATACCTTAGTTCCAATATACTCGTCTACTTTCAGCTACCCTTAAACTATTATTGCCCATTTGAATATTACCACTCACAAACCATCAAGCCAAGCCAACCCTTATAATATATTCCTTCTGCCTACCGCAACCATCAAACTTTACTTTTACTAAAGAATAATAATAATATAGAGTTGTCCATAAATTAATAATCTGAAATCAGTGACAAAAATATGACATGTAAAATCAATCTCTAGCTGAACGTAGCCCTATACAATCGTATTCTAAACACCTCCTCTGCTGCGCTGCGTTCTTGTTTGAATTTACTCGTGAATAAAGAGGGCGTTAGTAAAACGTTACTGATGTACTTGAGTGAGGCAATCTTCAACAAGATACAAGTCTCACCAACATGAGTTGTTTGACAAAATATAAATATGGCACAGTATATTAGCAGATCGTAATTTTTCTGTTGTGAATTCACAGGTTTTTTCTGTCATATGTCGCATGACACTTTTTGAAATGAAAATGCTTGTCATAAAACTGTTGCTTCAACTTATTTATCCACTAAATACATTCCAGGAAATCCCTCCTGGAAATCTAACTGATATCACAATTTGTAAAGTGAGTCACTTAGGTCTAGAATATTCGGGTCAAATTGCGAAAAGTGAAAGTGAGGTGCGCTGCCAGTCTTGGACATCTGATCAGCCCCACAAAGTGAAAGATGAACTCTTGGGTTATCATTTCTTGGACGGTTCGAAAAAAATGGCTAAAAATTATTGCAGAAATCCCACCAAAGATGAAATGGGTCCTTGGTGTTATACAATGAATTTTGATTTGGAATATGAAACGTGCGGTATTCCTCTTTGCCAGTACTCTCAGTGTAAGATAACAGGACCTGGCATGGAATATGCTGGGCAACATAAAAAAGGTGTCTCAGGTACGTATCATACATTTACATACATATACCTATATTGAATTGTAATATTACTCATTTATAGTATAGGTTAATTAATTTCAGACCGTAAGTGCATGAAATGGGATAAAGATAGAAAGAAAGTAAGAGAAAATGGAAATTATACCAGCATTTTGAAATTTCCCAAAATTAGATTTCCGGAAAATAATGTGGCCGACGCCAAAAAATTCTGTAGGAACCCAAATGGAGATCAGGGAGGACCATGGTGTTTTATTGAAAATGAGGAAACTAATGATATCGAAAAAGAATACTGTGATATACCATTCTGCGATGATCCAGAATGTCTCGTTTTCACGAAAAACTATAATACTTATATGCATTATACAGATTTCAATAGTTCCTTGACAAACATCAGTTTTGGTATCAAACTATGGGACTCTGATTCATATCTTGAAGGGAGTGCTAGACTTGTCCTTTCTTTGATGGCCTTACCCCTGACTGGGGCTGAAATAGAAGATGGGGGCATTGGTATAGAAATTTTTATCAGTAATAATTTCAGTACTCTTCGTTATGGGAACAAAGATAAACCAGAATACGAACCAACGCATGGTGTATTGAAATCCACCGAATTCACCAAATTTTCTCTGAGCTGGCATGCCGGATTTATCACATTCGGGTTGGAGAATCAAGTAAAACCTATTTTTCTAGCAGAGTACAAGACTAAGAAACGTTTACTTGGATACAAGAAAAATATCTTTAACTATTATTCAGCACAAGGCAGCAACATCTTGTGGTATTTTCCATTTTGTAAAGATGATTTTGAATGTGACTTACAAACTACAACTGGTTCCGAATTTCAACAATTTTGGCCATTGCGAGTAAAGGGTTCCAATCATGATCTGTATACACATGTAAGAGCTTATCATTCTGCTGGTATACTTTTTGTCTCGAGTCCTACTGAGGAGTTTCCCCAAGTGAAAATAATTTTTTCTGGGAAAAATGGTTATACCACGATAACAGCAATTGAGTATAGTGGAGCATCTGAACTTATATTGAAAAAACTGCAACTTGGGAATGTCTTGGACTATTGGGAATGGCATGAGTTTTCCATAGCATTCTTTGGCAATAACATGAACATATATGTGAAGAAACCATTGGGATTGCAAACTATGGCAGAAATGACTAACGAAATATTCAGGTAATTGGTTTTAGTTATTTTTTTTAATGAGCAAATTTCGAACATTCAAATTTTCATTTTTCTGTATAGTTTATGAGAAAACATTAGAAACATATTTTTAATTTTTGTAGTGCGTTCAAATTTGTGTTCAGCGAAATTTGTGAAGATATAGTTTGGTATCCTCCACCATATTCGTAACGTACTAGTCGTCGTCCTACTTAAAAAAGCCATGTTCCGAATGACTTGTTATAATGTATGTATAACTGTCTCTTTTGTTCTTGACAGTAGGAGAAAATTAAAGAAAAAGACTTACAGGGGATTTTTTTCCTTCTCGAAACATAAGATACGTTTTCCCTATCTTGGAAGATATGCAGGGAGCAACGAAAAGTGTATGAATTTTAAATAGAACAACCTATACAGGGTGGTCCACGGTGGATGGCCTATTAGAAGTATCTGGAGAATGAAAAGACAGAACATACTAGAAATTGGGATGCTTTGATAATTGAACATTCTCTATCCGCCTGAAAAAATTTCATCGATACAGTGTTGCCACATCAGAAATAACTAGCAACTTTGTTATTTTAAAATGGAACACCCTGTATTTTATTGCATTTTTAGATTCTTCCTGAAGAGCTGATTTCATCAATGCATCACACTTGGGGTCTAGCAGGAATGATTACAGAGATATAGTGTGTTCCAAATCAAGATCATTCAATTTTAGTATTTTTTCTGTGTCGAAACTATTCATTATCGATCAAAACGGCTTACATGTCCCTATCTCAACTTTCAATTCACTATCTACTTTCAATTGTAAAAAATACAGGCTGCTTCAAGATTCAGAATTCTGATCACCCTGTATCTGTTCCAATGGTAGATCTGAAATTGTATTTTCTATAAAAAATAACGTTTTACCTCTATCGCCGAC